ACTTCAGAAATTAATCAGAGACACTGCTTTGCAATGTTTTTCCTGTGTCACTCAGCGAGCTGCACAAGCTGGGGCTCGTTTGCCATCACAGCCTCCTGAAACTCTGGAATTATGAGCCAGGAATGCCCATTTCAGCGAACTGCCCAAAATCATTTCACAGTGCTTCCAGGGCTCTTGAATGGCTCTTTTGTCTCATCAAGAGAGAGAAGGAGCAAAGGGCCCTGCTAAAACCCTTTAGCATTTACAGCTGAGTGATTTGTGCATGCCAAAGTGTAAGAGATCCAAGCAAAGGGCAAAAAATAACAGACACACAGGAGTTCTGCCCCCGAGGCGTCCGATCATAAAGACATAAAGCCAGGGCTGTGATGAGCTGCCTCAGTGTAACCCCTGTAATTTATACTGTTACACTTTTAGGGTCTTACAGTTGGCTGGGAATGAAAGCTCACCTGACATTCAGACATTTCACATATCTTAACACATGTGCAACCACAGTCTTTGATGATGTACAGAAGCCATACCTGAGGGCAGAATAACATGCAGGGGATGAGTTATGAGGTGGCAAACTACAAGTTGCCTACTGATGGGAATCTGTAATAAACGTACAATATGAGGGAAGTAGGGGATAAGTGATTACAGTTTCTGCAGCTGCCAGGACAATTTCCTTTGTGTGTCATCACATGCTGCAGAGAGCTGCGGATTTGGTGTCATCCAATAATCCATCTTGTTTTGATGACAAACAGGAGCTCTGAGATTGTGGCTGAAGTGGCCCGTATACTAAACTGCTACCTACGTACTTGATTGTGATTATGAGGGTAATATTGTTGTTAGCAGAGAAAAGCTGGAAAATGGACTTTCCAGCATCATTGTGTACCTAGTGCTGGCAAAAGTAGGCCAACAGGGTATTGAAAAACATAGTGGCTGGCAAATGTTTTTCAAAATTTTCAAGTTACAAGTACAAATATTTTTAAGAGGATGGAAAAAAAACAAAATTTTCAGCTCTGTTTACAAGTAAAAGTCTGAAAAATGTGCTGTGCATTTGTAGGCACACCCCTTTCATTCTGATACTCATAAATATATTCCAGTCCCATATTTAGTAAAGACTCAGAGTTCTGTGTAAACATGAGGTTTTGAAGAAAACATCAGGGAACAAACAGCATTTCAAAAGCCAAGGAACACAGCTGACAAAGTAATTTTTAGGATGGTCTAGTCTAGTCAAATGCCAGATATAAAAACAATAGAGAATGTGAACCAAGACTTGAAAATTTGAAAGCCACTATGCTTTTTTAACTTCAAGGTGCTTATAATTGGAAGCAGAGCGCTGATGGGTACGATTCGACTTCTGTCTATCAGGTATGAAAGTCAAGATGAAAGCTAGAGAATTAGACGTCCACGGATAGTCTGGAGTAAATTTAGACCCCAAAGCTGCAGAGAAATAAGCAGAGACTATTAAAAGCTTTGCAGCATATGGTCAGTGGCCCATATGTCAGTGTTTTGTTTCCTTAAATGGAGTCAAGTGTGCATCTCTTCTGCCGTCAGTTTGAAGCGTCCCACATCTGCTTTTCGTCTGACAGTTAAAAAACATTTTCATCCCGTATCAAAGATAGCAATCTCTACATATTCTAGTCATTCTGGTGATGTGGTGAGTGGACAAGACCTCAACATGTGCTCACCTTTCTTCCCTGTGATTACAGTAAACATGAATTCTGGCTCGACAAAAGATGACTTTCACTGAGGAAAAGCATCGCAAGCTTGTCACTGAAGAATCATCTGAAAAGCCAACAAATGAGATGCAGAGTGAGCCCAATGTGGTTCGCACATCTGGGAGATTCAAAGAGCTATTGTCAGAGCGTCTAAACAATGCCAGCCTTCATCTCGGCTCACTTGTCAGGATCACGCCAGTCAGGAGCAGTGTGGAGGGTTTCAGCTTCCTTGCAGCAGGGAGGTGGGAATGTGTTGTGTTAGGGAAGACTGTGAGCAGGCCTTGACTCAGCTGTAGTTTCATCGGGTGTCAAAACATTAAGGATGAAACGAAGCCAAGGTTCTCATACACCTTTGAAAAAGATGAAAGGCAGGATAGTTGCTGTGTCTGCGAGGAAATTCATAATTATGTGCATTGCTGTTTGCACTGGCCTCCGACTCCCCTGTGATATAGCGGTGAGTCACTATCAAAAACAAATGGAGCCCTGATCAGCTCCAAGGAGAGGCAAGTCAGATCAAGGAACTGGAAATGTAAACACCGGTTTATCATTACAATCACTGCCGGCGGCTTTTATTAACTTGAGAGGAGGAACATAATGCAGCTGACTCAATAAAATGCTTTATAGAATCATCTCTGTGTAGTCTTTATTTCCTGGTTAGAAGTTTTTAAAACTCGCACGTATCACATCACATACCCTGAGGCAGAAGTGATGATACTTTTACAGATTCACAGCAGGCCTGAATGAATTGAGACTTTCCATCTTTGGAAATATTAAGGAGTTGATCACATTTAATAAATGCAGTACTACCTCTTTTAGTCTTTACCCTGCAGAAAGTAGATGGATTAAAAAAAAAAACAATTCAACTTTAAGGACAAAAAAATAATACTTCTCTTTACCCACCAAAGCAAAATTAAAGTTAGTAGACAAAGAAAACTTTAAGAGAAACATAGTATGCAAAATTCATATCCATTTCAGGCCTCAGCTGCTTCTTAAGACATCCATGCGCTTAAAAAGACACCCCTCGTTTTACGACAATAGGTTATTGTTAAATTTGTTGAGTCACTGCAGTGTTACATAGCAACCCCAGACCCAGCTCAAGCGGTGCTCCAGCACATTTGGTCAACTGGTTTGCCGTTGTCCGCACTGTACAAAAGCTACTGGAAAAGTGTTTTGTTGTTGACTTGCCATTCAGAAAAAAACTTACATCCTTCTTGTTTGTTGTGCAGGAGGCTCCACCACTGCTTTTCAAAGCTGTACGGTTGAATGATTGCGCAGCTGTTTGCAGCCATTTTCAAGTACGAGCATAAGTGTCGAGTTTTGTGGAGTGACCAGCAGCAGCTTATTTGGATTTAAAAAGACAAGAGGCACTGAACTACAGCTAATCCTGAAAGGAACTAAAACTAAGACTAAAATGTTATAATCAAATAATTATTTTCTGCAAAAAATTTTATGGACATGTTTGTAGAGCTCATAGACCTATTCTTATTTGTTTAAGGAAGCATAGCAGATCACTTTTAATAAAATCCACCACTGTAAATAACTTTGTTCATTTGAACAAATCTAACCAGTTTTCTTCTCCCTGCTTAAAAAAAAGAGATTTTCACAGCACCGCCTCCATATTTTACAGCAGTGATAATGCTTTCAGGATGAAGTGCCGCCATTTTTCACACTTTCATTTATAAGCAATTGTAAACATCACATTGTTACACACATTCCTATGCATTATTGATCTATTATGTACAATCCAAATAAAATACATTAAAATTGAAGGTTGCAATGTTAAAAAGTTATAGGGATGTGATCACATTGGCAACACTCTTGTTTCTTATTTCTTTTCCATTTTACACCTGTCTTCAATGAGCCTGTTTTTCTTCTTTGCAGGGCAGTGAATGAACCTGGATGTTGCCTAAATTAAGCACAGAAATCAACCAGGAATGCTAGTTTCAATAAGCCCAAAGCAATTTGGATTTATTTTCTACACGAGTCAAAACCAAAGCTTTTAACCAAAGAGGACATTGCCGATGCCATTTGGTATTTACCAAAAAAAGAAAAACAGAAATAAACTTTCCTGCCCCATAAACTGTGTCAGCCTTTAAAGGATGAGAAACAAACACAAACCAGCTCTTGCTAAATACTTTGGGAGACGGAAAACAAAGCAGCCTCTGGAATGACCTTTCCAAAGTGATTTTTTTTTTCTCCAATGCACCTTAAACAGGAGGAAGTTCCATATGCATAGTTTCCCCTCACGTCACCGTAGACTTATGATCTTCAAGATAAAGAACAGATCCCTTTCTTGGAAGGCAAAGTAATCTGTGGGCTGCAGACTGAGACACAAACAAAAAAGCATGTTCTGCCGACCAAAATAGAGGAGGAAAGGAAAGAGAAAAATCTGGGAAGGGGGAAAAAACTGGGGAGTTTCATTGCCCTCTGCTCCAGATTTTTTTGTTGCTGTTTTTCCAACGGGAATTCTTCCAAAGGACGTTGGGGCTGACCCTCTGTGAGGTCCAATTAGACTGAGATAAACACTTCATGAAGGAACAAAGTAAGAGTAAACTCTTTACGGCAAATTTCAACTGACTGCTTGGGGAAGGAACACGGCTGCTGGAGGAGTCATGCCTGGAAGAAGAAACCTGGAGTGCTGAAGTGCCTCTTTACATTCTCAGTTTTTAGGTGATTAAACACTTGTTTTGAAGAAAGGATACGGGCGTAGGGATCTGATTTCGGACAGTGATGGAGAAAGGCCATATGGCTATCAGGAGAGGGGTGAGCTGGAGTCCAGGAGGGTTGAGAAAACCTATCGAGTCAAAGCAAGAAAGGCAGCCCACTGAGACCGACGACAACGCATCCTGGGAGAAGAAGGGGTTTACCAAACAGCATGTCAACCGCAAAACAAGTAAGTGTTTGTTTTATTTGGCATTTTATGGACTTATTTGGATGCGAAAGAAAAAGTAAAAGCAAAAGCTTTCAACGCAAAAAAACACAGATAGCTGTGGTGTTCCCAGAGATTTGTCTGATGCTTTAATGTGCTAGTGTGGACAGACCTGAGAATAAATCTTCCTTAAAGACTGGGACTGCCAACTTTTGGAGCGGGAAAAAAATAAAAAAGTCCAGGCTTGTCAATGCAACCTGACACAAAGAAAAGCTGCATGAAACATCTGCTCAGGGGAAAGCAGAATTGGAAAGACAATCATAGACAATACATATTAATATTCATCTCAGAAGCTGACAATCGTAGGATAAGCATTATGGGAAAAGCCACTTGGAACTGTACCTTCACATCTGTCTCCTTCTACCTCTTCCAACAAACAAACTACAAAAAAATCCCAAAAGTTGCCACACTCTGACAACACAATCAGTCTGTGGAAAACACAGCAACATATCAATAAAAGTAACTTCCTGTGGGCAGTGGCAATGTTTTTAGACACACTATTCAGGTTGAGTAATTGGTCATTGTGTATTATAATGGAAATGTCACAGCCAAAAACTCTTATCTAGATGTGAAAGCTGTGTGCCACCAACACCCTTCCAATCACTCATTACCTAGCAATTAGTTTTCACAGGTCACTGAGAGCAACACAAAGAAGCTAATAAAAACTCACTACTTGTCTGTTTTTAAAGAGTTAATGCATGAAGTTAAAGGTAAAAGTAAAAAAAATAATTTGTCCCCTGATGTTAGTATTTGCTTTAATAACAAATGCTTCCCAAAGTATTCATGACTGAAAATCTAGGTGGTTGCCCAGTTATTAAATAGAGTAAACATCTGTCTGATTGACTTGCAATATAAGTCAGCTTTCTGTGAAGTTTGTGAGCAAACATCACGAAGACCAAGGATCACAGTGAACAGGTTGTCGTAGAGAAGTTTAAAATGGTGGTAGGTTACAATAAAAAAACATATCCTTTTTATTGGACTTCACAGGAAGCACTATTCATATCAGTCATCTGAAAACAGAAAAATGAAGGTAAAACATTCCCTGGTAATCCACCTAAACTGATAAGCTGGACATAAAGAAAAGCCCAGAGAAGTTGCCCAGAGTTCCTTGATACCTGTAAAGAAAGCCAAGAACTGTTTAATAGCCATGGATGCCACAAATCTGGCAAGAATGGCAAAAATAAAGCTACTGTTTCAAGAAAATCCTATATGCCACAAGTCATGTAACACAACAAACACATGGAAATAAGGCCAGTTTTGAGACCAAAATTAAACTTTTTGCACTCTGCATGTCAGAAAAAAAAACTTCCATGTTTAATTTAAGCTTGGGAATTAGATATTTTGTAGTATTTTGCCTTAGTTATGTTCTCATTTTAGCAACCCAGTCTGTTGACTGAGTTATGACCCTCAATGGTTTTAACAGAAAGACATATGTCCAGCATTGATTAATATGTCAAGTAACTATGACTTATGGCCCTCATTCAGAAAGGTTTTATAATTTTAACACAGTACATATGTGATTTTTAGGGAATGATTTTCAGCTCAGATAGGAGACTAATAACTACTACTCATTCGCTGCACAGAGCAAGAGGTCTTTGTTGAAAGAAAACCTTCAGGTGAACTGTTTAAAATTTGAGGCCAAACATGTTGGGACATTGCCACTGCCCATAGGAAGTTATTTTTATTGATATGTTGTGTTCCAAACAACATGTATGTCTGAGGAGGAACTCTGGTCAGAAAAAAAAATCTAGATTTAACTGTGAGTCCAAAAGGACAACATGCTGTATGTGGAGAAAAACTAACACTTTGAACAAAGTATAGTCATGGTGACCCATAGTGGTGTCAGCATTATACTGTGTGGAGGCTTTTCTTCAGGGAGGCTGATGGAAGTCAATGCAACAATAAATTGAGTTAAATACAAAACAACCTGTTTGAAGCAACAAGCTCTGTTTCTTCCAGGACAATAACTAAAAATGCAACAACAGCTACAATGAGTAGATCAAATATTCAGTTGTTTCACTCGACCAGTCAAAGTAAAAATCTACCACTAAGAAATCTGTGGCAAGACTTGAAAACAAATCATCACAGATATTGCTACTTTGAAATGAGGAATGAACAAACACTGATGTGAAAAGACAATAGAAACATGTACCAAAAAATGGCCGCATGTGGTCAGAGCAGAAAAAAAAAAAAGTCTCAGAAAGGATGTGACATTTTCTTTCCACTTTACATTTATTGGCTATGTTGTGTTGGTCTACTGGACAACAACCCCAGTGTGTATTCAAAAAAATGTTAAACATTTCAAATGTTTTTGCATGGCTCCATATAAAAGCCACTGAGAGTTTAGGTCTCGGTCAGTCTGGTGGGATACACAGCCCCTCTGTTAATCCCCCGTCTTTCCATACCATTTCACATATCACCCACTGGCTCCTGGGCTGTCATCCCTCTCCCCTCCCGGCCATCAACCAGAAGAAAGATAACATCCGACAGGGTAATCTGACCTTTGATACACAAATGTGGGGTTGGCCCCCTCGATTCAAATTCTGCTGCTGTAAGGGGAAGTCTTTTTGTATGCTCCACCCTTTGCAGGGGCTGGGGGAAATGGAGAAAAGATAGAAAATGTTTAGGGGTGGAGGTGAGGGAGACATGAGGGGAGGGCAATACGATGCAGGGCTCCTTATATCAAGACAGGAAATTCCAGTCCTGCTTTTGCAGGTTGGAGCTTAGGGCTGCTGCAGTTCAAAGAGGGCAGACACTTGGTCTGAGGGAATGCTCAGTGAACACACATGGCATATCCCGACTGATGTGGAGGGCAGCAGGGGTCAGGTGCTTTAGTTGTGGAGGCTCACTGGTCTAATCCATGTAAACATAAGCTGAGGTATCTCTGGGTTGCACTTCAAAGATTGCAACAAAGGGTCAGAGGCTCCCCAGCCATCACAGGACATTTTAGAGATAAGCTGCTCAATACTTACCATTGACAGGACGCTTCTCCAAAGCTGTCAAAACAAAGATGAATCTTTCTGCAAAAAGCTGCTGCTGAAACATAAACACTCTCCCAACAGAAGCAATGGACTTCACTCTCACAGGTGTCTCCGTTTTGTTATTTAGTGAAAAGCATACGTGAGTAAGTGCTACACATTTGGAAGAAATGAAACCAAAGTGGAGGTAGAGTGACAGACGGTGTAGCCTCCAGCTACAAGCCCTCCCTCCTTCTCTTCCCTTCCCTGCCCTCTTTCCCTCTGCCTCCCTGCCTGTCTGTGTCCTGCTGGACTGCAGAGAAAAAGAAATCCGATCTTGTGTCTTGCTCCAGAAAAAAAAAAATAAAAAAAATAGTGAGGTGGGGGTGAGGGGTGTCAAGGCATCAGACGCAGTTATAATTGTAAACTCTTGTGGAAGTACTACATGACAGCGGAGGTCTGAGATTTGACATGAAAAAGGTAAGAGGGGTTAGGCGCTGATGTGGATCAGATGTCGAACAGAGTGGCAAACTCTCAGGGAACTTGTGAGGATGTGCCGTGGTTTGAATCCTAACAGAGGAGCAGTTGTGTCGGATTTGTGAGGAAAGGTAACTTGTCAGTGGCTATGTGTTGAATGTGCTACTCTGTCTGAAAACTTTACAGAATGTTTTTCACATCTTTGATTGATGTGAAATGTGCAAGGGTTTCCTGCGCATTTGGGTAATTGTGAGACCTATATTGCTTAAACTTACCTTTGTATTTTCTCTTAGTTAATGCTTTTTTTATATGTAGAGCAGAGGAATTTAACTCAGCGAAAAATCAGTAAGATTCAGTTGCATCAATTGTATTTGGTCCAAATGGGCTTGGCACCTGCACGTTGCTTGATAACCAATCCGTCTCATATCTATATAGATGTATCTATATCTATCTATATGTATATATAGATACATATAGATAGATATGTATCTACATATATCCATCTATCTATATATGCATATAGATAGATAGATAGATAGATAGATAGATAGATAGATAGATAGATAGATAGATAGATAGATAGATAGATAGATAGATAGATAGATAGATAGATAGATAGATAGATAGATAGATAGATAGATAGATAGATAGATAGATAGATAGATAGATAGATAGATAGATAGATAGATAGATAGATAGATAGATAGATAGATAGATAGATAGATAGATAGATAGATAGATAGATAGATAGATAGATAGATAGATAGATAGATAGATAGATAGATATGTGTGGGTTTTTGTCTATGGTTAGGACTCTTGCTCTCATGTTTTGCTGCTTTGGCGTATATGTAGAGAAGCACACTGATTGTTTTAATCTGAATGATTGTTTTAGATTTCTGTCCAGAAATATGCAGCTTCAACTCATGGTGCATTTAAAAAAAAGAAAAAAAAAAAACAAGAATACCCATAAAAACGTATATATAAATAAAGCTGCATTAGACATTTATGAAAGTAAACTGGGAGAGTTAAACCCACCAGTGACAGCAAACAAAAAAGAAAGAAAGTAAAGTGTATCACATAATATTTCTTTTTGCTGTGGATACACTGTGATAAGGTGTTATTTTATATGCCATAAAAAGCCACATGTAGAATCTAATCATCATAGCAGATTTACAAGGGATTGATTTACACCTAATTATTGTGTCTCGCGCTAGATTACGTCAGATATTGTAGCTGTCAGGCTCTATAAGACTTTTTTTCTGAGAAAGGCCCTGAAAACAACTTTAAATATTCTCCACCGCTCAGATTATTATGACATCGTTTCAACGATCCACCAGATGTATCTCCATGACAACCCATTCATTACTGTGCTCACTAAAGAGTTTCTTTTTCCTGGAGTGCAATTTGTCATATAAAAAGGCAAAAAAAAAAAAGCCTGGATCAAGTTTTTATTGCTTCTTTGATGTAGGTACTATGTTTAAAATAGGGAACTCTTGATTGTATAGTGTGTTTATAGACAGCAGTCTCAGAAAATCATTTTTGGTAGCTGTAGATTGTAAAAGTGGTCTATTAAGGGTTTGAGCTCCAGCATTGCACAAATTAGCTACAGAGAGAAACCAAAGGCATGCTGGAAGCGCAGGCGGGGAGTTTTCTCAGCCGTGGAGGAATGCTCAGGGAGGGACGACTGCAGATGGCAGAGGAAATGGTTCCACTGCCTAGAAAATAAAGCTTTTAAGCTCAAACAACACAGTTTATGTTTCAACATAGGCAATTTGGATCAAAACTGTTGAACTTACAGGGAAAAAGTTTGTCAGACTCTACTTTTGCTGCAGCAGCAGCATGCTGCCCTACATATATATATATATATATATATATATATATATATATATATATATATATATATATATATATATATTTATAAATTTGTTACTGAACAAGTTGTGCCTCTTCATTAACATTTTTGTTTCATATGTGTCTCAGCCTTCGTCTATTAGCTCACTGTCTCGAGCTGCAGACTGCTGAGTCAAATGTCCACAAAGCCCTATTTTTCTCACCCCATCAGTCAGAATCAAAAGCAAAGCAAACAACAATTTAAACCATGTGGCGTTAAAAGAATTGTGGTTTTCAAAGTGAATATTAAAACCTAGACTCATAAAAAACATTCCGCATGTTGGCTTTTTCTGTTTGAATTTAAAAACCTATTTAGTATTTGTGTTGTTATCCTGGGGGAGTTAAACCCTGCATAGCAGTGGGTCTCAAACTTTTTTTGTAAGAGTATCTAAGTACATCCATACTGACTTCTTCTAAATTGTGTATTTGAACATTTTATAGTACTTATGTCATAAAAATGCTTTGCTTGTATTATTACTTTGCCTATCAATGAAAAGTATCTCAGGATCATATATTTGTTGATTGGTGATCTCAACAACACGAGCAAGCTTAATGAAGGCAGTTTCAGCTCGCAATTACATCTTTACTCAGAAATTTTGAAGTTTCAACTTTAAAGAACTAACAGAAAGATTTATATTAATTTTCAACTGGAAACTTCATATACCCTGGCTTTACATAAAATCCATTATATCTGATAAAGTAAAAAAAAAATCTCAAACTAAAGAATCAACTGCACACCAGATCTTTTGTATATTACCACACACACACACACACAATAAATATGCATGTACAATATTTGAAAGCATAAAACGTTTGTATTGTTAGCTTGTATAGCTAAAAATAGTTAGGCTGGTCACAAAGAAGGTCCATAAGAAAATCTTACTTGTTTTGAAAGCAGTAAATGGAACACAGCTAAGTTAGGCTTGATGTGATCCCAAAATCCAAGTTGTAATTTGTCAAACTGAATTCAACATAAATTTGCCACCAGCACTTGTTCCTGGTTTGCTGCTGCCCACTAAAGTTGATATGGGGAGCTCTCCAAAAAGTTTTCACTGCCTATTTCTATTGAGAAGAAAAAAATGCTTGCATTGTTTGTTATGATTTCCTTAGAGTAAACCAAAAAGACAGCCCATATATTAGTAATGGCACCAGTCCCATCGTTTGAGAACCATGACATACTAATATAGGATTGTTGTGCCAAACCTTAAGATTAAAACCTAATAATGGATCCACGAGGAAATGTAAACAAAAATACACAATGTGCACTAGTTTTGAGTCTTTTTATTTGCCAAGTTCAGCTTAGCTTAGTGGTGTTTTATAATGAATGGGGGCTAAACGTCTATGTCATTTTTCCTGTTTTCTGTGTCTCATTAGATCTGAGTAGGAGTGCCAGTTTATCGGAAAAAGAGCTGAAGGAGGCACGGCTGAAGAGTCACATCATTGCTGCTCAGCTCACCATCCCCTCCAACTCCAGCTCCAACTCCAGGGGTGTGCAGCTTTTTAATCGGCGCAAGCAGAGAGTGAACGCCTTCACGCTCGAAAGCTGCGGACAAGGGTCAGAGGTGGACAAAACTGAGAATGTGAAAAGTGATTCCTTGTCCAACGAGCAAACCTGGGCAGAGAGGAGCTGTGAGGACAAGGACACAGACCTGAACTCAAATAATAATAAGTCACATTTTTTGCCAGCTGCAAGCAGCCCTTCAACTGGTGGCATAATGGATGAAAAAAATAAGAATTTTGTCAAAGATGAAGCCAGGGAGAACTATGATGTCCAGGAAAGACATTTCCTCCCTGTCAAAGAAGAGCCGGAAGAAGAGGACGACGCAAAGGATAAAATTCATGAGGTTCTAGAGGACGATGCTAGACACCAAACTCGTCTGGGAAGTAATGACTCTCATCCAGCTGTGATGGCACATGTTGAAAGGAAGACAGAAACAAATGAGGGCCACCCGGCAGTTGTTCCCTCTGAAAAGCTTCTTAATGGCTGTCATAGCACCTCTGGTTCAGAGAGGATTTCCTTAGTCTCACCCTCCAAGCAGACGTCCGCCTTCCTCAACAGAACGGCTCGACCTTTCTTTTCACCACCAACTGTCCTCTCTCCAGATTCAGTCAATCCTGCCGTAGACATCCCACCTCCCCCATCTTATGCCACTCCTCCTCTCCCTTCTTCTACTCAGCCTGTCACGTTCTCTCCTCCACCTCCACCACCATCATATCCAACACCCCCTCTGCCGGCTTTCACAAACCGACCTCCACAGACATTCTACTCTAGTCCACTTCCAATGTCTCCTCCCATGTCCTCTCCATGCGCTTCGCCATCCACCTTTCCTGTTTCCCAGCACCCACCTGCACCCCACTGTGGCCCTCTGACAGCTCCAAAGCCTTCCACCTTTGTTCCACAGTCCACTGGAGAAAGGAAGCCGATAACACCAATCAAAACAGGAATACTAGAAGAAGGCGCAGCCAGAAGGGCAAACAAGAAGTCAATGTTTACATTTAAAGAGAAGGCAGTGGTTGCTCCAAACCCTGAGCTGCTCTCTCTGGTGCAAGGAGCGGATGAAAGAAAGAAACATGGACACAGATCTGTCCCTGAACCAGCACCTGAAGAGGAGTTACTCGCTTTGGGAGCAGAAGCTTCCAACTTCCTTGCAAAAGCAGAGGAAAAGACAGAGGGAGCAAGAGCCCCAGAGTGGGCATCCTGTCTCAAAAGCTCAAAGACCAGACCAAGGCTGGACCACCGTCCAGAGCAGAGCCTCACAAATGTGTCAGGCAAGGGGGCTGAATTGTTTGCCAAACGTCAATCAAGGATGGAGAAATATGTTGTTGAGAATCAGAATCCAGGACAAATTAGGTCTCCCTCCCCCACAATATCTTTACCACCATCCTGGGTTTACCCGTCGAACATGCCAGGAAGGGTCAAAGCCATTGCCAAGAACTCTGAAGTAAGTGCACAGATTTCGCAAAATCTAAAGGCCCAGCAAGCCGTCAAGCAAAAACCAAAACCAAAAGTTGCAGTACCAGAGCCAGTTCCAGAGCCACTAACTACTTTAGAAAATGGTTGCTCCAAGATAGAGATGGACCTCGCAAAACACCGACCCTATCAGCTCAACTCTTCCCTCTTTGTCTTCAACCCAGTCAAGGACCCGATAAGCACATTACCCAGAGGAGCACCACAAGCCAAGAACCTACTCAGCAGCCAAAGTTTTTCTAGACAGACTTCTCTACCAAACACCTCACCATCTTATTATGGTAGCATGTCACCTCAATTGCCTCTCACCTCCCCAAGAGGATCAGAATACCCAGCAAATCCGGCTTCCCCACATGCGAGGATCACTTCTTCGATGTCTCCTTTTTCTCCAGAACGAGTTTCAACCCCTCGGTCTGGAGTTCAGGCACCAAAGCCAACGTTTTCTGCCAAGAAGGCAGGAATTACACCTCAGGTGTGGAGACCGACCATGTATCATTTTTAGATAAGACTGAATATTTCATAGATAAAGATCACATGGCAGAAATATGGAAGATTATTTAGATGAAGCTAAAATTAACTGCTCTTTGTTTGAACCCCTGACTGTTTGTGTGCCTTTTCATAATACCAGCATTTGTAGCTGCATGAAGGAATTATTGTGATATTTAAATTTACCATGAAACAATACCATGGTACCGCAAATTTAAGTTAGGGATGAAATGGCCTGCAAATGATACAATTATCTAAGTCAATGCATCCTAACTCATCTGTGAAGACAGAGTATAATTGCATTTTGTCTGAGAAACAAAATCCATTCATCAGTGATTAAGTTCAGAAAAGTTTAACTGTGCTGTTATGTAATCAGTGAAAGTTTATATTCTGAAAGAGCTCTGCACTTAAGCTCTCTAAACGTCAATTTAAAGAACATTTTGAAACATGAAAACAATCTCAAATGCTCTCCACCGGGTACCATCAGGACTCTGTCTTACAAAGGCGTCTAACAGATGGCCTAGCATCTGGTTTGTGATCCACAATTTGTAGCAACGCTTTTCAGAGCCATAAATCTTTTAATGCCTTTATGTCTTCAAGCCTTTTGCCCAGCTTTCTAGCTTCATTTACCTAGACACGTGTTACATACATTTGGGCTCTGTGTTATTTTATATCTGCATCAATTTCCGTATCTTGACTTTGTTCCAACTAAAAGCAGTAATTCTGTCTTAAGTCTGCTGTGTTTCTGTCTCCTTCTTTGCAAACATGTTGATTTACTGTTTTTTCCCACTGTTTTTGCTCACTGTCTCTTATAACTGATTGCGTTCTGTGCAAAAGTGAGATGTTTCTTTTCTGATTAAATCTTCATGCTAACACTTTACAATGACTTCCTTCTGTTTTTTTCCTCCTCTCATTTCCTGATTCCATTTAATGTCTCTGCTCTTTCACTTTTATTAAACTTGTTTGCTATAGCTGGGAACATCTAAGCTACCAGAAAACTTTTTGTCTCTATCAAATACAGGGATAACTTAACAGAGAAAGATCTGTGCTCAATTTGAGCTTTTGATCTCGACAGTTTTTAAACTCTCAAAGAAATAAAACATAAACATCTCAAACGTCTTAGGTTTATGTCCAAACATTTGGAGTATAACCATGACATTACATGGAGATCATTTTTGGATAAAGATGCTTGTACTTTGAATTACAACACAACACACCCTTCTGACATATTATCATCCTGAACATAGATAGCTAGTTCTTAATTGGCAGGACATATGATGAACTGCAACCTTTGCTTCAGTTGAGTAACTTCATATCCCTGCAAAGGGTAACTACCTCAGGAGGACCAAATGACAGTAACCTGAGAGAGATACTAAACACTAGACCTATTTGTGCTAATGGCTAGGCTTACTGAAGAAACACTTGTCCAGGGAGGGAATGTTAAATGATGGTGTGTATGCAACTGAAGCTCCAAATGAAAACATAAATTTAAACCTATTAAAACATTTGTACTTTTTTGATTATTTAACCTTTGTTTTGTGTCACCATGGTCAATTAAAGAACATCTTATAATGATCAGATCTGACAAAAAAAACAACAAAAAAAAACATTGCGATTCCCATAAAAAGAGGATTTGCTGTTCTTAAATCTGCAATCTGAAAGATTCTGCTTTGTGGATGTTTTTGTCTTTTACATGTACTAAAGCAGATCCATATGCTATGTTCCAACAGGAATCAGAGGAGTCATCCCCTGTTGAAATTACTGGTGAAACATCCACGGCAGCCAGGACACCTACCTTAACCAGACGTTTCAGCAGCCCGGCAAACCAAGCAACTAGAACATGGATCTCCAGCTCTCAAACAAGCCAGTCACCAACCACCACCAGTGGATCTATCCGTTCCGTCACGTCTCCTGTCAATTTGTCCAGTAATGCAAGATCCCCATCTTTTATGTCGAGTCACAATAGCCAGTTTTCCTCTGTTAATTTCACTTCTGGATCCAAGCCCTTCCAAGCAGCTAAAGCCACTTCTCCATGCTCTCCACCTTGGGGTTCCAGATGTCAGTCCCCAGATGTCAGCCAGTCCTCCACTACTGCCTCCGTTCCTTTTTCCAAACCTTCTGAAAACTCTAAAACCAATTATCCTATTTCTCCTCCTTGGGGTTCAAGATGCCAGTCCCCATCTGTGAGCAATAATAACAAGAGCTCCACTGCTTCGGCTTTCTCTGTGTCCAGACCCTCCATCACATCTGTCACCACATCTACAGTCTCCCCTCCGTGGGGATCAAGGTGCCAATCCCCAGCAGTGAGTCAGAATACTCAATCTTCCACCTTTTCCCCTGGTCCTACACACAGACCTTCTCAAACTCCTCCTTGGGGATCAAGATGCCAGTCACCTTCCGTAAGCCAGAATAATCAATCCTCCGCTGTCTCTGTTTCCCCATCCAGACCTCTGCAAATATTTGCAGCCACATCTCCTGTCTGCCCTCCATGGAGCCCCCGCTCCCAATCACCTGCGCTATTTCAAAGCAGCTCATCCTTTCACTCCACTAATCCTCTGCACACAACAGCTACTGCCTCCCCTCAACGACAACAAAAAGACAATCGCTGCACGTCCCAGATTGTGAACAACCTAGACTCAAAAGCAAACCACCGTCTCCTTGCAAAGAACATTATAAATGCAGCCAAACGTAAAAACAGCCCCTCCCCTGGAGCACTGAGCAGTCACGGCCTCCCCATTTCACCTGTGGGAAACTCTCAAAATGACTGGCAAAAACCACCAATTAGCCCCTTCCAGCAGAGGTCCTTGGGTGCACAGTCTCCCACCTTCACCAGCCCTCCTGTCACCCCAACTCAGAGAATCTGCTCACCTGTAAGGCTCTACAACACCCGTTCTCTGACCGACTCAGATGCCTCTGTTGAGTCCGAGGACTCGGGCCTCAGGTCGCCTGGCCTACACTCCTACAACACCTGCCCCCGTGGCTGGGGCAGCAGCCTGCGGGTCAAAAGAAGTACTGTCTCCACTGACCTGTGAGATAGCTAAACTACTGGATGTTCAATTAAAACAGAATTCCAGCGTTCATAGACCCCTGTTTGGCCTTGGAAGATAATTTGAGTTTTGGACTAAGTTGCTTAAATTTCATTTAAGCTAATTGTTGGACCTAAATCATAGCAAACGTTATATTAAAATAGTTTTAGGTTTTCAAGGGGCTCACATTCCTTGTATGCACTGACAAGAACAAGCTTTTTATGAAACACAGTTGCTGTGGCTTGTGCGCTTCTGACATACCAAAAAGTGCTGAAAAAATTGATCACAGGTTTTAAATAGCCTCTATTATACTTTAAAACAAACACACCTTCTCAGTCATTACTACATTAATTATACTGACTGGTCTGATAAAAGTCATAACAAGAAGAGACTTCAGGCATAAAAAAGGCACATCAAATTAGTAATAACATTTACCTTAATGGGCATTTCGCTGCTTTAGTTAAAGCATTATTGATGTTTTGTAATAGTACACTGCATGCAATGATCACATTTTATAGTTGCATTTGATTTCTTGGTTTCTTGGTTTAAAATGTGAACTGTAATGATTGTTACAGTTATCTTCTGGTCCCTTCATCATTTTCATTTTTTTTTTTTTTTTTTACCATGTTTCAATCACAAACCCTACTGTGTTTTAGTTTAATTTTAGAACTTTAAACAATTCATGGTGGTTTTCAAATTGAAACAAAAAGTAAAAAAAAGAAAACATATTTATATTTAGGCTCTGTGGGCAACACATTTTCAGTCAGATTTTCTCAGTTGGCTTTGGATCTGGACTTTGACTGACCCATAATTACCATGAACATCTTGAACTCTAAACCATTCTATTGCAGCTCTGGTTGTGTTTATTGATGTCCTGCTGGCAGGTGAATGTCCCTATTCTGAAGTGTTTTGTAGCCTTTAAATGGTTTTTTTCTCATATGGCATCTTCATAGGAACTCAGACAAGATTCCATGTTTATTTAGGAAAATTACCCTAAACAAACATGGAATGCTGCCAGCACTACCTTTCATCATGGTGAGTATTTGCTTTGGTTAATGTGCAGGATTAACATGTAGGCCCTTCCATGAAGGCATAATCATCAATTTAATTCTCTTTACACATTAATGTTTGTTGTTGTAGTGTGACAAAAGGTGAGGTCTGTGAAGACCAATGACTTGTTTAACAAGTTACTCTAAGTTTCTAAAACTTTCTTTCCAGATTGTCATTTTTGGTTAATTGACTAAACCACATTCTAACTTCACATGAAATCCAATGGACAATTTATACACTGCGATAACCAGCTGACATGTACATTAGTTCTATTAAATACTGAAATAAGTGAACGTTTGCTTCATAGAAGGAAGTACAGAAAAGTGGAGTGTATTGAAAAGAAAAGTAAATGGTGAAAAATGTTCTCGGAATATTTTCTTCATGTTTCCTTTGCTATCACCAATACTTATTGCTTGTTAGTCCATATTAGTAGGTGTTCTGATGTGGAACAGATTAAAATATTTGAGTATGTTTGAAAAAGGTTTAGAGGCAGAAGTGTATGTCATACAAGTGGAGAAGGAGAAACATGATTAAAATCTGTGGCAAAAAGGACAGAAATTTGTTTGAAACCGAATTGTGTTACAAGCGAGATCGGAAGAATGAATTATATTTCAGCTGCATATGATAGTCTCATGTACGTTTTTAGTAACTTGTAAAGTTTCTTTTTATACTTGAATGCACTTGTGATCATTTCATTGTACAGGCAAAATTGTCATTAAAAGCTTGAGTTGCTAAAACAAAAGGCAAATAAATGTCTTACTATAAAACTTCAAACGGTCCTGGACAATGCTGCATGTTAGGATGAAGCTGGCAATTAGTTGCAAATGTAAATGCTCCCAGAGTTATGTTTCTGCTTCAGGAAGTGTAACCCTTTCCACCTTTCCTGGTCCTGCAACAGAACAACAGATTACTTTTTCGTTCGCTGACTCACAGGCTGAAAGGATCAGCACATTGCTAAATATTTACTCTGTGTATCTTTTGAGTGACAGGAGCTTCTGCTCCTTGGTGTCCTTGCTCCTTCAGCAGGATTGAGCCTATCACTGTCATGGATAGATTTCAGCCGAGGTTACCTCTGGGCAGCCTGCACACATCCTCGAACAGATACCAAGAAAACACATCATGACCTGTCTAAGTTTGCTTATAGGTTTTATGGCTTCCTGACTGTGTCACTGCATTTCCTTAATTCAACTCGTTTTTATATCATAACACAATTAATAAACTGATGCACAATAAAACATCTGTGGAAAATGTGCAATTTGTTTCATTTTCTTTAAATGCACTGAATGATTTTTGCACACCTTGAGGCACAGCACAGCAGCAGTACCTGAGAACATCCACTCATAAGAAATAAGAGAGTAAGTAGGAGTTTAAAGATGTGTTTAATCTTTAAACCCATTCTTAGCAGCAATAGCTTCTTAGTTCGATTTTTTTATATTATGTTATAGAGGAAAGATAACAGCAGTGAACTTTACCTAGCAAATGATGTCTATCAATAAGTGGAATAAAAGCTAAAGAAGTTTCCCAGCTGTGCAGTTAAAAAGGAAATACTACATTAAACACATGACTATCTTAAAATGTTACCAAAATATGATGTCTCTTCTTTGTACAAGATTTGAGAACAAATTAGAGATTTGCTTCCACAACACACAGCATCATATTCTGAGAAAGCCCAGAACTGTATAAAAATACTTCCTAGTGTCTGTCAGGCACAGTAATGGAGTTTAATAATTTGTGTTTATTTTCAAGTATCAGGATTATGGCATCTTGCAGGCACAGAGTTAACTAACTACTCTATTTAATAAATAACCATAAGATTAAAATTAAGAATAATTATTAAAACAGAATAGAAAGATAAAAAAAACAATGACTAAAAGTGTTGTAGTCCTTTAAGTCAGTCCACAGCTCAAACTGACTGAAATGATTTATAAGTCGAACTGTTATTTTCCAACTATTTATGCTTAGTTTTAATTACAAATCACATTAATTGATAAAATATTTAAATATTTATTTGAAGTTGGTTTTACATATACAGAAGACAGTCGAGTTTATTTCCCTTTTCTTATTTTGATATATTAAACTATTACAACCATACTGAAAAGAACTCAAAGAGTGTATTTTTTATATATATAACTACTCAAGACCAAAGTCCGACTCTAGCTCCCATGTGGATTGTCATCAAAGCAGGGAATCCCCTAGCATAAATGATAACAACGTTATGAAATAAGGGTGTAATATGTTTGTACTGATGGAAAATTTTACAAATACTGCAGTGTCTATGATTTGAAAATCTTTTTTTATTTTATTTCATGTAAATCTAATAACTGAAATATGCACTTTTTTCATTAAATAAAGTCAAAAATCAATAATGCCAACCTCACGAGACTAAAAGGACACATTTCTTTGACTTGATAACTTTGAGCCGAGTTCACTGTCAGTTCGCCATGTTTGTAGCAAACGATTTGGGGAGTGGCATGTCACCAACACCAGGATCCAGAGGTGAAAAGAAAACTTAAACCAGGTTCAAAGACTGCCATCTGTAGGACTTCAGACTGAAGTTCAAATTTGTCTACATTACCAGAGCAGACGCTATTCAAGCATGTCCTCCATAACACAACTCTGAGCATTTCACGACTTTAAACATTCAACATGATCTATTTTCTTTCTAACAAAGTGTGATTTTAAGGTGTGGTCATTAGACATTAGGGATACGAGAAAACATATTGAAATAACCAGTCTAATATTTTATAGCATCATGTTCTCTTTGTTGCTGGGGTAAATAAATCAAATCAAACCAATGTTTGTTCAAACATCTGAGCATTTCTCATTCCAAAATGTCCAAATTTTCCAAAATTAGAATCTAGTTTCTCTCTTTGAAACTTTAAGCTTTTCTTTTGTTATGCAAGCTAATCGTTTTGTTGTTGTTGTATTTTAAAATAAAGTTACATTTGGTATTTTCTACAGTATGGTAAACCAAAACAAAAGCTGCAATAACAGTACATAAAAAGGGCAATAAGTAAGTAATTAACAAAATAAACAAAACTACAGTTATATAAGGTACCTTTTTCTCTACTGACCTTATACTGTATTTAAAATCTTAATGTACTGAATTGTTACTATCAAAACTCTGTGTAAAAAGTTAAAATTTTGTCAGGAATGCTCAATTTTCCACTCTGGAAATAGAATGTGGATTAAAATCTATAAATACCGATATGTTTCAAGATTTTTTTTCACATCACATGCTAAGATTAAACTGGATAGTTTTCCAGACTGTTCAAAACAAAGTCTGAATCTGACTTACTGTCAGTTACTTGACAGGTAATTGTTAATTGTGAACATGCACATTTGTTTTTATTATATTTTTTACATGTGTTTGTGTCCCATTATGACAAAATGTGAAGCAGAGAAGCAATAGATAAAACAAAATACATGGTAATTTCAAATATTGTGACTATGTACAGAAAAATAGTCCTGAAAGTGTCAAAGCAATGTCACAACAAAGCACATTAAAGTACCAACTTTAATTCTATAGAGAACCTGGCAAGAAAGCTCAAGATTAGTGATGAAAAGGGGAAACTTCTAATCTTAATCTTACTTTTAGGAAGAGATTATTTTACCATTGATTCTAGAGAGGGGTAACAAAAAAATGCATTCCATTTCTCTCTTAACGTTTAAATGAAACCATACAATTTTCAAAACTCATAATTTTTTTAAAACATTTTTTTTACCTTTTTAGAAGTCGTCTGTGTCATTTTTCATCGGAAATAAAGTATTTAGTTTATTGGAAACAGTTGTCAATATAAAGTCTGCCAGGCACATATATAATTTTGGGAATAACTGTTTAGTAAGCATGATATTAATTAATTAATTCATTAGAATTTTAGATAGGAGTGGATGTTTCAATTAATTTATTTATTTTTCTTACTTTATAGGACTTTTTTGTAGAATGACACTCAAGAAATGTAATAATGAGGAGAGCATTATGAAACTATTAAAATTCTGTTTTGTCTGAGTTGTTCTGATGTGCCACACCAGCACAATGGCCACCATTGCACCAACCTTTTGGAAACTTTCTACACGTGGCCCTGTACTTACTTTTTGTATTGCAGAAACATAATGTTACAACTGGTTTAATTGAAACCACATACATGATGAATAACATGGTTAGAAATTATGTTATTAATATAGCACCAGAGAATATGTGTTCTTGTAAGATTTGAATTAGTTCAGTATTATGCCTGCACTTTTTCTTTATCTGATCAATACAGTGCTGCTTTATTAGGTTATAAGCCAGAAGAACATTTTGTCTCAATTCAGTGAGGAAAAAAAAAACCTTCATTTGACGACACAAGAGGCCGCTCTTGAGGTGAAAAGGGCCACAATCCAAACACACTGGGTTTTTGTCGTTTGACAGCAAGGGCTTGCTTCCCTAGGAAAAAAAAAAAAGAAAACAAAGATGAAGGCTCTTATTAGCGGCGATGGAGTAGACGAGATAAGATTAGGGAGGTCGAGCTGAGAAGTTACCTGCTTTAACACTATATCTGGGCGTTTTTAAGCAATAAAAAGCAATTTTTTCCGCTGTATGCCAGGGGAACTGCAGATGGATGTCTGTGCCTTAGTTAGGTGTCCCCGAATTGTTTATGTTAGCCGCTAACGCTAACTGTAGAAGTTGCGAGCTAGCTGGCCTAGCAAGTAAGAGAACGATAACAAGTGACTTATGTTTGATTTGGCTTGCCCAGCGGACCGCGGTGAGTAAACTGCGCTCCGTCCAGCTCATGGAGACAACAAACCTCAATGGGAGTAGTTCGAGAACTGCGGCTTTAGCTGAGCTTTCGGAGTACCTATCCCTGTAGGTTACTTTAGCTTACCGAATAGCCGCCGTTACTATTCCACGGAAGAATGAGTAGAAAACACCGTCACTTAAAGGGAGCCGAGGTCAGCTGCTGCGTTAAATACTTCTTATTTGGATTTAACATTATATTCTGGGTAAGTTCAATTTAGTTTTTTTTTTTGCGCTTGCTGTCACTTTAATAGCATTAAGTGCCTGGTTTGAGTTAAAAAAAAGAAAGAAAGTTATATCAACGTAAAGCTACCTCGACGTGACGACCGTTCGTGTTGAACAAACGTTTTTTTCACGTTTTAGTCGTATTGTTATGTTTTGTATTCATTCATTTATTCTATATTTTAGGGGGTTTACTTTGTCTTTTAATCCAGCTACTGTTCTGATTTGTCTAATCAATGATTTCTTACGTAAACGATCAAGCTGCTGGTCTTGATGGTTCTGATACAAGTGGTTTTTTTTAATAAGTTTAAGACAATGACAATAAAATGGCTTAAAACTTTCAAGGTAAACCCAGGAGCGTTGTTATAGCTTATTTCGCACATTCTCTGTTCTTACTCACTACTTTTTGTATCCTGATTTTATTTTCATTTGGTGACTTGTGTCACCAAGTGAATGACTAATGTAAAATAACTCTAAAGTCAAAATGTTTCCCATTTATAAAAGGAAGAGCTTGGCATTTTGTTTGGGTTTTCATTATTTCATGTAGGTTAATAAAAAGTAATATCTTACAGTAAAGTCAGCTTGTTGTTCTTACCACTTGTTTTGTTGGTTGAAGTTTGTTTTATACATTTGTTTTTTATCTCAAAAGTGGCTGATTTTGCCTGTATTTGTGTAGTTTAATTCAATATACTGATAGTACCAGGGTGAAACTCAACAAGGTGTTAAACATTCCTCTGAGATTTTGGAATGAGATGATGGCATCACATGCTTTCTGCAAGTTTATTGGCGCTTTCGTAATACTAACCTCTCATTCTGCTACATCCTAAAGTTTCTTTATTGAATTGTCGTCTGGTGACTGTGCAGGCCATTGGAGTACATTGAGCTCATTGTCATGTTCAGTGTATCATTTTGGATAAAGTTGGACTTGGTTGTGTTATCTTGACACAACTGTTGATATTTTTTCTTATTTAGACAATTCTCTGTAAACTCGAGATGGTTGTATGTAAATGAAAAAAATCCAGTACATCAGCAGCTAACTCAGACCAGCCTGCATGGCACCAACAAAGTCATTGCATTCTCTTTCTGCTGTATTTTGATTAATGGTTTGATCATTTTCAAGTTATCTTTGATATGTCTAGATGTCTAGATTGGTTGAGTGGATATTTAACATGCAGTTGAAAAGGTGTACCTTATAAAGTGGCTTGAGAATTTCTCGTTTGATCAGCCACTACTCACGTAACACATAAGCTTGAATTAACTGTGCTTGTTCTGATTTGGGTTTTACAGTTACCCCCTAGGAGAGGCATTATAGTAGTTTAGAATGTCTTAGGTCAATATGTTTTACAATACCAATCTTTTTAAAAAGAAATAAGCTGAGCATTTGTTTCTGATTGTTTAATATATTTCTAAGTGTATTTACCACCAATCTGAGTGACGTGATTTACGAACACGTCCACCATCTTTATTCCTGTCAATTGTGAAAAGTTTCTCTGTTTAGGTTGACTCACCACCCCCTTCTCCCCTGCATTGCCTCGTACAGCTTGGTGTGGTCTAATGTCTGTGGGTGAAGTGATGGTGTGTCTGTCTGCCCCGAAGGATCTTCCCACACGCAGTTGTAAAGAAAAGGCCACACGGCCTGAATACTACACAGCTCTTTTCTTTTCAAACATCTCTTTTAAAGTCTCCGCAGCCACGGTGTTGAGGCTTTGCTTGGCAGCATTGTTTTTCTGCACTCGCAAACCCTCGAATCCACAAAGAGGGGATGGTGAGAACAAAGACCAGCTTGAAAGGGAGGCACTGGTGGTGTGTGAGGCTCTTGTTTTCATCCATTATGCATATGTTGTAATTGACACATTAAATATATGGAACACAGATGCTCTCTTCCTGTTCGTCATCGCCTCCCCACACCTCAAGATCTTAAAAACTGAGGGATTTTGACACACTTGCATTATGTAAAACTGAGGTAATATGAACTAGATAAACATCCCATGAGCCTGAGTCTTGCGTCGAAAAAAAGTGTGTGAATACGCAGTAATTTGCCTGAAATGAAAATGCTTTGTAATTCAATTGGATTGGGGATTCAAGTGGGAAATATTGAGTCAGAGGGCTGACTCAGTACGTGGTGTTGTGTTTGACTCATATTATGTTCTTTCAGTTTGACACTCAGGCCAAGGCAACAGGCTCGTATCTGCGCTTTGTGCGAAACTATGGAACAAGTTCCAGCTCGCTGGCTGTTTCCGTTGATAATAACAAAAAGATGTTTCCCACTTGTATGTGAGCTGCGGAGCCGGATTTTGATAGACAGACTCGTGCATTGCTCAAATAGATAGAGACGGGGGTTATTCTTCTTAAATCAGTCCATTTGTTTTTCTCATAGTGATGTTGTCAAGCTTGAAAACACTGCCTAAATTGAGAGAGAATGTTTGTAAGGCCATAAAAATTCTCTGCTGGGTCCACGCTAGTGCTGCTTTTCTCAGTGAATTTTCTCCTCTCCCCCGAGCTTCTCCGAGACAGCCAGACATTCACGCCGGAAAACAACTCACCTTCTCTCGTCCCTTGATTAGATGCATTCCTCACATCTTTTTAATTAATCACATTTTCTGCCTGAGCTGCTGAAATGTGTGGAAGCTCTGCATGCTGTAATTAAGAGCTTGTTAAGCTGTAACCAAGTTACCGAATTGGGTGGATGCAGAGAGCCATTAGGCAGCTCCACTGCTCCACAGTTGATGCCACAGTGTGCATCGGATGATCTCCCGCAGGTGGAAGGCTATCGAGGGACACGTGTGAATGCATTTGTTTGGGAACAAACCCGTCAAGACCAATTTAGAGCTGAATCTGTTAGCCCCTGGTATTAACATTTACCTGAGCTGAACCAGTCACAAGTGGACTCTTCGGAACAGGATTTAATTCGAGATGCTTTGTGTATCTGGACAACCTCATCACATTACAACGACAGGCTGAAATATTTTGTTGCTTAATGTACAATTTCAAGTGTGTGACATGGGTAGCAAAAGCACAAGTGGTTTTATAAATAAATAGAGAGGGTGAGGTGCATGGTTAGTTTTCTACCACATGTAGAGCTTTGCATTTGTGGTCAAAGAAGTTCAGTTTTAGTTGACATGTTAGTTGTACTCCTAAACTGAAACATCCTATGGCTTTCAGCTTTCTGTTTGCCAGAATTTGGAGGGTGAGATGAAGTGTTGTCAATAAATACTGCTTTTTGACATGTGAATCTATTCGGGGTAACAAGTTAAACATGGGTGGCTGCAAATCCACACCCAACAACATTGGGTCTACATATTAAATTATTTTCTTAGAAAATCTGACTAAAATACTTCAAGGATTGTGATTGTAATGAGACCAAATCTAAAAATATACATGTGTCTCAAAGGTGTGAATAGTTTTTCCAAAAACTGTCACCTCCACTTTTAGAGCTTGCTTTCCATTCATTAGTTGTGGCGCTGGAGAAAGAATTGAAGAAATCTCTCATGTACTAAATCTTGCATATTAGCTTTACTCAGGTTAGTGTCAAGCTTGTACATTATGATCTCTACAAGTCGCACAGTCTGTACCAAAGTGCTACATGACAGCAGTTTTTAGCAAAGATTACAATATGAATCTTTATAGAAAAGCATTTTGTGTTCAGAGAAGTTTTAACTTTAATCTGACATTTGACTCCTTCTGTATAGACATTCTCTGGTAAAAAAAAAAACAATTTTTTATCTTTACAAATATTTAAGTGCATTTTATTGAGTCAGACAAGTCATTTCGATACGTGTGCATTTCAAAGAAGATGGAGACATGCCTCACGGTTGGTTGAGGTAAAAGATGATTTTGCTCAAGGAGGAATATTTTCATGTGTTGAGAATCTCTGTCCTCATGGAAAACAAGCTTCTGACACAAGCATTAGTGAGAACTTTCTGGAAACAATCTTTAAGCCTGAATCAGAAAGCTATCACAAAAACGTCTTGTTCCAGGGTTTATTTGTTCTGTGATCAAGTACAAAGATACAGTGCTTGAAAACAGAATGACAAATGAGATCCAAATTACCAACAGCAGAGTTTAAATATTCAAAGACTGAGTCTTATTTTTAAATGAATGAGTAAAACTGCTTTTCCTGCTTGCATTTCATTTCCAAACTGTTAAGAGGTGATTTTAAAAAAAAGATAACAATTATAACAATCAGTAAAGAGAACTGTTGTCTTCCAGTAGCGTTAGTGCTGTGGTGTCTTAGTCTTTCTGACCTCAATTTAACCTTAGGGGCTCACATTACACTCTGGGAAACTTTGATAAAAGGAAGTAATGTAGGTAATGCTCAAAAGCAGGTTCAGATTGCTTTCATTTGTTCCATTCATTTGAATTTCTTTCAATCCCAATCTTTTTGTGCAATGAGGTAAGTTTAATTTGCAGATAGGGCTTAAAAAGCACAGAGTGTTGCCACTTCCATATAACCAGAACTGGCTATTGGGATTGTGAAGGTGTATTAGCCTCTGTCCTTATAATGATGTGAGTTTTATTGAGACATGGTTTGAGCAAACACAATTTTGGTTTTAGTTCTGTTAAAACCTCTGTCCACTTTGAAAGTGGTTCTCAAAGTGTGTTTGTTAACTATGAAATAGATCAAAATTCAGATAAAGGGGACACCTTAAAAGGTGTTTTATTCATGTCTACCCTTTGAAGAGAATAATATCACTTGTTGACTGGGGAGGCCTATGAGAAACACAAAAAACCAGTCACAATGAAGGGCTGAATATATCCTCATGAGTTAACATTAGAGTAATTTGTGCTAAATCTACATGAGTGGAAAGCAGACAATACTAATGCCTGCCTAAAAATTGGCTTTCTAATTTGGAGGCCGTGACCCTAAGTCTCTGTGTACACAAATGTTTGGTTCAGACATTTTAAAAATGTACATTTAGAAAAGTGAAAAAAATAAATGCTTTTCCTTCAGCTGACCAAGGTCTACAGCGTAAGTGGCAGATGG